AGCACAGAACACCAAACAGAAGCGTAATCACACACAACACCTGACACACACAACGAGAACTAAATAGGACACTAATGAGCACTAACTAGAAACAGGTGTACAACATCAAGACAAAACCAAACGAACATGAAACATACAATGGTGGCAGCTAGTACTCCGGGGACGACGACCGCCGAAACCTGCCCGAGCAAGGAGGAGGAGCAGCCTCGGCAGATTCCGTGACACTATGACAGACAAAATGAGAGAAAAAAAATCCTGAAAATCACATTGTAGGATTTTTAATGAATTTATTTGCACATTATGGTGGAAAATAAGTATTTGGTCAATAACAAAAGTTTCTCAATACTTTGTTATATACCCTTTGTTGGCAATGACACAGGTCAAACGTTTTCTGTAAGTCTTCACAAGGTTTTCACACACTGTTGCTGGTATTTTGGCCCATTCCTCCATGCAGATCTCCTCTAGAGCAGTGATGTTTTGGGGCTGTCGCTGGGCAACACAGACTTTCAACTCCCTCCAGATTTTCTATGGGGTTGAGATCTGGAGACTGGCTAGGCCACTCCAGGACCTTGAAATGCTTCTTACGAAGCCACTCCTTCGTTGCCCGGGCGGTGTGTTTGGGATCATTATCATGCTGAAAGACCCAGCCACGTTTCATCTTCAATGCCCTTGCTGATGGAAGTTTTCACTCAAAATCTCACGATACATGGCCCCATTCATTCTTTCCTTTACACGGATCAGTCGTCCTGGTCCCTTTGCAGAAAAACAGCCCCAAAGCATGATGTTTCCACCCCCATGCTTCACAGTAGGTATGGTGTTCTTTGGATGCAACTCAGCATTCTTTGTCCTCCAAACACGACGAGTTGAGTTTTTACCAAAAAGTTCTATTTTGGTTTCATCTGACCATATGACATTCTCCCAATCCTCTTCTGGATCATCCAAATGCACTCTAGCAAACTTCAGACGGGCCTGGACATGTACTGGCTTAAGCAGGGGGACACGTCTGGCACTGCAGGATTTGAGTCCCTGGCGGCGTAGTGTGTTACTGATGGTAGGCTTTGTTACTTTGGTCCCAGCTCTCTGCAGGTCATTCACTAGGTCCCCCGTGTGGTTCTGGGATTTTTGCTCACCGTTCTTGTGATCATTTTGACCCCACGGGGTGAGATCTTGCGTGGAGCCCCAGATCGAGGGAGATTATCAGGTGTCTTTTATACTGATAACAAGTTCAAACAGGTGCCATTAATACAGGTAACGAGTGGAGGACAGAGGAGCCTCTTAAAGAAGAAGTTACAGGTCTGTGAGAGCCAGAAATCTTGCTTGTTTGTAGGTGACCAAATACTTATTTTCCACCATAATTTGCAAATAAATTCATTAAAAATCCTACAATGTGATTTTCTGGATATTTTTTTCTCAATTTGTCTGTCATAGTTGACGTGTACCTATGATGAAAATTACAGGCCTCTCTCATCTTTTTAAGTGGGAGAACTTGCACAATTGGTGGCTGACTAAATACTTTTTTCCCCCACTGTATACTGTAGCTAAGAAAGTAATACTAAGTGTATGTTGTGTAGTAAGCTGTTAGTAGCCCATGTGCCTCACCCTAATAATTTGGCTTATTTTCCCCACTTAATTTTCCTACTGTTCTGACTTGGTGGTGCACGTGTAGCCTATAACCTGTTTTAGAGAAATGTAATCATTAAATATTGTAAGAGCTTTCATTGTCTGCATTTATACCCCCTTTGTTTATCCTACGGTTCTGACTTGGTGTACAGGGACAACACTGAAGAACGGCCCATGTTCTGAATTCTGTCGCTGTACATTTCAAAAGTGCTAAAAAAAATAGTTATATTGACTACGTCCGTCCTAGCTCGCTCATTAATGTCTTAATCGAAATTACGGATTGCCTTTTATCCGCTTATCATCCACTTATGCCATAGTTTATAAATCTCAATTGTCAGTAGAAACCACATTTGTTTAAGCAAGTCAGCCATATCAGCTATGTTTTTTTTAAAGGCAGTGAATGAGGCTGAATGAACTGTTTCGCTGCCAGACAAGGCTCCGCTGATAGCCAGGTGTAGCGGTGTTAAGATGTTGGGACTGCTTTATGTAGGCCCTAACAGTTTGTGGGCACCGTTTGTCACCGTTATAGTGCAATAAATGTATTGTTTAGTGCTGTGTTGTGTTGTGTAGTGGCTTTGCTGGCATGCATCCCACATGTTTTTTTTTTGTTGCCCAACAAAGATTTACATGCTAAAATCACTACTGGTTGAATGCTGCAAACTGCGAGCAACACCTGTCTAGGTGAATCACCAACTCCTGTATACCCTCAATATGTATTCCATTCATAAACTGGAATAAACTGGAGTGGGAGTGTGCAGTTGACTCATGTTACAGTTGAAGTCGGAAGTTTACATACACTTAGGTTGGAGTCATTAAAACTTGTTTTTCAACCACTCCACAAATTTCTTGCTAACAAATTATCGTTTTGGCAAGTCGGTTAGGACATCTACTTTGTAAGTAAGTAATTTTTCCAACAATTGTTTACAGACAGATTATTTCACTTATAATTCACTGCATCACAATTCCAGTGGGTCAGAAGTTTACATACACTAAGTTGACGGTGCCTTTAAACAGCTTGGAAAATTCCAGAAAATGATGTCATGGCTTTAGAAGCTTCTGATAGGCTTATTGACATATTTTGAGTCAATTGGAGGTGTACCTGTGGCTTTATTTCAAGGCCTACCTTCAAACTCAGTGCCTCTTTGCTTGACATCATGGGAAAATCAAAAGAAATCAGCCAAGACCTCAGAAAAAAAATTTGTAGACCTCCACAAGTCTGGTTCATCCTTGGGAGCAATTTCCAAATGCCTGAAGGTACCACGTTAATCTGTACAAACAATAGTATGCAAGTATAAATACCATGGGACCACGCAGCCGTCGTACCGCTCAGGAAGGAGACGCGTTCTGTCTCCTAGAGATGAATGTACTTTGGTGCGAAAAGTGCAAATCAATCCCAGAACAACAGCAAAGGACCTTGTGAAGATGCTGGAGGAAACAGGTACAAAAGTATCTACAGTAAAACTAGTCCTATATCGACATAACCTGAAAGGCCACTCAGCAAGGAAGAAGCCACTGCTCCAAAACCGCCATAAAAAAGCCAGACTACTGTTTGCAACTGCACATGGGGACAAATATTGTACTTTTTGGAGAAATGTCCTCTGGTCTGATTTAAAAAATATTTAACTGTTTGCCCATAATGACCATCGTTATGTTTGGAGGAAAAAGGGGGCCGCTTGCAAGCCCAAGAACACCATCCCAACCATGAAGAACGCGGGTGGCAGCATCATGCTGTGGGGGTGCTTTGCTGCAGGAGGGACTGGTGCACTTCACAAAATAGGAAGGAAAATTATGTGGATATATTGAAGCAACATCTCAAGACATCAGTCAGGAAGTTAAAGCTTGGTCTCAAATGGGTCTTCCAAATGGACAATGACCCCAAGCATACTTCGAAAGTTGTGGCAAAATGGCTTAAGGACAACAAAGTCAAGGTATTGGAGAGGCCATCACAAAGCCCTGACTTCAATCCTATAGAAAATGTGTGGGCAGAACTGAAAAAAGCGTGTGCGAGCAAGGAGGCCTACAAACCTGACTCAGTTACACCAGCTCTGTCAGGAGGAATGGGCCAAAATTCACCCAACTTATTGTGGGAAGCTTGTGGAAGGCTACCCGAGACGTTTGAGCCAAGTTAAACAATTTAAAGGCAATGCTACCAAATACTAATTGAGTGTATGTAAAATTCTGACCCACTGGGAATGTGATGAAAGAAATACAAGTTGAAATAAATAATTTTCTCTACTATTATTCTGACATTTCACATTCTTAAAATAAAGTGGGGATCCTAACTGACCTAAAACAGGGATTTTTTACTAGGATTAAATATCAGGAATTGTGAAAAACTGAGTTTAAATGTATTTGGCTAAGGTGTATGTAAAAGACTTCAACTGTACGTGTTAACCTAGCTGACAGTAAGCAGAGAGGAAGACGCGAAGCGAGAGGATTTACTCCGCCCAAAATCTGTCCGCGCGAGATAAGCAGGCTTAGTGGGGATTTTTTTGTATGGAATTCTATGAGAGTGTCGAATTACGTCAAACTGATTTGATGGAATAGAAGTTTCGTATTGTTTAGGCTGTTACAAATGTACTGATATAAGTGGATTCACGTGGCATTCAGGCAGCTTAGAGAAAAACAATGTAGTTGTGCCTATTGTTCGCAAACGTGTCTGCCCTCTCATTGGCTACTCCTGCCACATGCCGTTCATCTTTGATGACATGTATTTCCACGCACACGTTTGTTTTATTATCCTTGTGGGGACCAAACAATTTATTCCCATTCTAAATCCTATTTTCCCTAAACCTAACATTAATTCTAACCCTAATTGTAAACCTAACACCTGAGCCTAAAATAACATTTTCCTTGTGGGTACCAGCGAAATGTCCCCAAGTTTCCTTGTTTACTATCTTCGTGAGCACTTCTGGTCCCCTCAAGGATAGTAAAACCAAAACACACACACACACAGAGAGAGAGAGAGAGAGAGAGTCTGTGAGTCTCATTGACAAGGGGAGAATGTAAATTATATTTCCTTGATTCCTCGCGTCCTCTCTCCTCGCCTCCTTCTCAAAACTCAATCAAGGAAATGCAATTGAGATTCTCCCAAAGCTTTGCCACAGTTTACCCTCTTTGGTTGTGCAGAGTCAGCTTTTTCTTGACCCATACCACCATCTACTGTTATTTATGAGTACTGCCCTATCTGGACATATCACCATAGACGGTAAATGTATAGCACAGCACACGTCAACAACTAGAAAGCGCCCTCTATACGGAAGTAAAGCTGTCAGCGCGAGACAGGAAATGAAAGCAGGCATTTTTAAATTGTAAAGCAGCGCAGACAGCTTGCAGTAATCTTCCTAATTGTTCTTTAAACAAGAATATATCTCGTCAAAATGTCGAAGAATAATGATTCGAACCAATTCAGGAAGGTGGACGTTGACGAGTACGACGAGAACAAATTTGTGGACGATGAGGATAATGGAGAGAGCCAGGTCGGTCCAGATGAAGCAGAAGTGGATTCGCTGATCAGACAATATCCTTTTACACTGATTTGATTTTTAAAGTGCACTGTTACATTTAATGGAGTGACGTGAAGCCGACACAGTTTTGCTATAATGTTGCAATTCAGACAATCTGACAAATCGTGCTACTATGTTGCAGATCAAGTCGATGCTTGCGCGCCTGTCTCTCAAAGTCAGGGCGTGGTGCTCTCATGCCATTGATCCAACAATCTTCCTTTTTCATGTAACGAGAATACGTTCTGCAGTCAGATTTATTGTTCTATTCAGTAAAGATTTGGTGATGGTAGTAGGCCTAATATTTTGTTTATGACCTGAAGACAGTCATTTGTTTCAAAGCCGGTTCAGACAAGTTGAAGGAGGGTAGGAAGTGAATTCCACCAGTCAGTCATTGAGATTCTAAAACATAAAAGCAACATGATTTGAAGAGAGGTGAATCAAGCATTACCATGGTGCTCTCTCATCTCTCACCGTGGTCCTCTGTAGCTCAGCTGGTAGAGCACGGCGCTTGTAACGCCAAGGTAGTGGGTTAGAACCCCGGGACCACCCATACACAAAAAAATGTATGCACGCACGACTGTAAGTCGCTTTGGATAAAAGCGTCTGCTAAATGGCATATTATTATTAGTATAAAACCTTTGTATTGTCTCTCTCTCTCTCTCTCTCTCTCTCTCTCTCTCTCTCTCTCTCTCTCACACACTGTCTGTCTCTATTTTCCTTAACACTGTGATGCACAGGGAACCTGATGGAAGCTCTGCAGGCTGTACTAAAGAATCCCCCCATCAACACCAAAAACCAAAATGTTAAGGTGAACCTTCATTACAACACAATAGATCCATGTCGAGCATTAACGGTCCCATGTGAAATAACTGGCTTGTTCCTCAAAATACACTTTGAGCTTGAGGCATGTAAAAGTGTGTACTTCCTTAGCAGAATATACTAAAATAACACTGTGTGTGTGTGTGTGTGTGTGTGTGTTATAGGATCGTGCTGAAGCCCTGATGCTTAAAGTACTGAGTGCCTTCAAGAGCAGTGACATTGAGAAGGCTGTTCAGTCTCTGGATAAGAATGGAGTTGATCTGCTGATGAAGTACATCTACAAGGGCTTTGAGAATCCCTCTGAAAACAGCAGTGCTACCCTGCTGCAGTGGCACGAAAAGGTAAGACTTATCCTTACTGGTGTATGGCTGGAAGCACTTACAAGGTGTGCGTGCGTGCGTGCGCGCATGCGCTTGTGTGTGCCTGTGCCTGTGCATGCATGTGTGCGTGCTAAAGCCTGACTGGTGACTGATGAAGCACATGCATGGATTTTTATAATGAGGTGCACACTGAAGTACTCTTTACTGTTAGATCGCTTTATTAACTGTTAATTCCATATATTCCTGTTATGTTGCTGTTATTTGTATCCACTGTATTCATACTGTGTGTGGGGGGGTTTCTGTGTGTGTGTGTGTTCTAGGCTCTCTCTGCTGGAGGAGTGGGCTCCATCGTGAGAGTGCTGACAGCCAGGAAAACTGTGTAGAGCTGCACTGGACCTGACTGACTGCCACTGAGACCACTCACTCACTAAAACCCCCAGGGCCTGTACTCATAAAGCATCTGAGTCGGAGTGCTGATCCAGGATCTGTTTTGCTTTTTATATAATAATGAATAAATTACATGGACAGGGTTGACCTGATCCTAGATCAGCACTCCTATACTGAGACGCTATATAAATACAGTCCCAGAACTGGTTTCCTCTCTACGCTTGAAGGAAGCTCGCAGACACCAGACGACCTGTCTCAAATGGCCGCTTCTCAGTCCTAAAATGCGTTATGATATTTGATCAGAATCCAACGTTTGTCAAACATTTTGTGCTCTTTTTGTCAAAGAAGATGAGAAATACTCATATCGTAAGTTTTACATCATCTTAATGTCTTAAGGAGGACATGTAATAATAATATGCCATTTTCCGAGATAGATTTTGTGGTATCATCATGGTGGGTAGATGGAACCATACAGTAAGATTTTATTCCCTCTAATGCAGAGCAGTTTGTGTGTGATTATGCTTGAACTAGTTAACCTGGTCCCAGATCAGTGGAGGCTGCTCAGGGGAGGACGGCTCATAATAATGTCTGGAACGGATCAAATAGAATGGCATCATGTGTTTGATGTATTTGATACCATTCCACTGACTCCGCTCCAGCCATTACCACGAGCCCGTCCTCCCCAATTAAGGTGCCACCAACATCCTGTGTCCCAGATCTATTTGTCCTATATGGGCATTAATATACAGCACTAACAGATCTGGACCAAGCTAGGAACAAGTCCTTTGGAATGTAGTGATGTCATCACATGTTCCTGGACATGTCTCAGAGGGCATCCTCTTTTTAATAACGTATTTACAACAAGTATAGAAAAATATGTCTTGACAAATCCATTTGTAGATGTATTGAGGAAATAATATGTGTTACTTTAGAAGAAGTGTAAGCATTCTGAATCAAATGACCAAATGCCTTATTGAGATATTATTTTTTATATACTGTATATGAATTTTCTGGAAATAATAAACAAACATCCTACTATTGTGAGTTTTTTTAATATCCTGACATTTTACAATTTTGTACATTTCAAAGACGACTGCAAACTTCAAAAACTACATTCCACTCAGAGTATGTGTTTTGTATTCTTTCTTGGAATTCTTTATTTAGATGCTGGTAGTTTCGAAGGGTTATTTTTGCAATTCTTCCATGATCTTTGTTGTCATATTTGAATCTTGCGAGCGGCCACAGGTGACTCAGGTGGTAGGTCTCCCACTCTCCTAAAGCTTGTCATGGGTCACCCGTCCCCCTGGGTCACCCCTCCCCCTGGGTCAACCCTCCCCCTGGGTCACCTCTCCCTCAGCCATCCAGTCGTGGAGGAGGATCTGTTCCAGAACAGGCCTCTTAGTGGGATCCTGCTGCAGACACCAGCTGATCAACTCCTCACACTCTGTATCATGATGAAACAAAGATAGGATTGGGAGTTTGACTTTGGGTCTCTATTCAATCTTTTTTTTGTATTTGAACACCTTCAATCTAGTCTGAGTACCAGTCTTTTTAGATAATATCATTTGCCCAAGCTCTTTGGAAAATGTCAGGAGTGGCTAGGAGTGGAATGTTAGCTAAAAAGACTGGTACTCACCTTTAACCCACTCATATATCCATAACCACATCCAATAACATACTGGTACATAGCAACAGCACGTCTCCCCCCACACCTTTAGTCAGGCCCTTTTTGAAGCGCAGGCGCCCAGCGCTGATATCAGCCTCCTTGTTGAAGGGCAGGCGCCCACACACCAGGCCGTAGAGCAGTACCCCCAGTGACCAGATGGTGGCGTGGCGGCCCTGGTTCACACCACTCAGCACCCACTCTGGAGGACAGTACTCTTCTGTACCTGAGGGGGAGGGAAGGAAGAAGGGAGGAAACATTACAGAGTGATTACTGTAAATTTATAATATCCACATTTCTGAAACATTTTCCAGATCTTTACAACTGGGTCATGTTCATTAGGGCACACTGTAACAAAAGCGCTTCTTATTGGACGAGTTCAGATAGTACCTACCCATTTCACTCAGTTTCAGAGCATTTTCTTGCATTTCGTGCCTACTGAACATACCCTGACCAGCCATTCCCCTGTTGTCTCCTACCTGAGTAGTCTCTATAGGACGATTCTCTCAGCAGGTCTCCACAGCCAAAGTCGATGAGCTTGACCCACAGGTTGTCTGGCTGCACCAGCAGGTTCTCAGCCTTGATGTCTCGGTGCAGGACCCCCCGGACGCAGCAGTGCCGAACAGCCAGCACCACCTGTAATAACATAATCAGAATATAGAATAGCCAGCACCACCTGTAATAACACAATCCGAATATAGAACAGCCAGCATCACCTGTAATAACATAATCAGAATATAGAACAGCCAGCACCACCTGTAATAACATAATCAGAATATATGCCATTTAACAAACACTCTTATCCAAAGCGACTTAGTTTGTGACTTAGTAGCAACAAGAGAGTAGCGTACAGTACAGGAAATCCATACAATTGTAGTAGGTGTATGTGATACCTGCATGAATTGAACCCACAACCTTGGCATTTCTTGTGCCACACTTTTACCTACTGAGCCACACAGGGCTTCACTAGAGCCCTCACCTGTATCATATGATGGTCCTGGCCAGACACTTGTCCACCCGGCCGCCCAGCTCCTCGATGAAGTTGAACAAGTCCATGCAGGGATACGGCCTCTCCAGCACCAAGATGAACTGCTCAGCCTCCTCAAACCATTCCAGCAGGCCCAGCACGTAGCAGCAGGACGGGGGCCGCGAGATGATCTGCATCAGGGCCACCTCCAGGGACAAGGCACTCCCAGGCTGGAGGTGAGAGGGGAGGGAAAAGGAGATGGAGAGGACGTTGAATGGGGAGAAGTCACGGTAGGAGAGGAGGGTGGGGTGAGGGTTGAGAGGGGATTGCCATAAGAAGGTTAAAAAAGGGGACTTTCTGTATGCTTACCCTGAGAGTCCTTACAGTTGTGCAAACTAAAACAGGTTACTTACAAGCTTTACGTATGGCTCGGCCATTCCTCTCGTCACATACTTTATGGCCACCTGAGTGTAAAAGCAACATGATAAGAAATTAATATATTAGTTTGCTTTCACTTCTTGGGTTATGCAAATATAAATAGCAATACAACATTTGCATTCTTTGTCTCACACAGTTATCCAACTATATGACCAGAATTAGAATTCCATAACAAACTGTTATAAGCTTCACCTGTTGGCCGTCACTTTTGCGCATGGCGGCATAGACGGACCCACATCCTCCTTTACCCAGCATGCTCCCCATTGTGTAGAGAGACTCAAAGCTGCCTGTAACAAAGTTATGCATGAAATAAAGCACAAATCATCACAGATGAGAAATATAAAACTCAATAGATACTGTTAATGTAATATCAGAACTAGTTCTTTAGCCTGGTCCCCGATGTGTTTGTGCCATCTTGCCAACTCCTGTGGTCATTGTCAGGCTAATGACAAGACAGCACTAAAACATCTAGGACCAGGCTAATTCTTCTTCTTCCATTGCATTGATACTGAGTGTAGTCAGGACTTACTGGGGTTGGGTCCAAGATTAAACGTGCTGGAGTCTGAAGAGGCTGGTCCTCTAGAATTGGAGGGGGGGTTGTGTAGTGGGTTCCTCAACTGGGCTCTCCTTTGTCGGGTTAGATGGTGGACAACGATGGGTCTCTCTGGAATGGGGGTTCTATTGTTCTTACTCCTTCTCCCCTCCTCCCTGGGCCACACCCTCTCCTCAGACTCCTCACTGCTCTCCTCCTCTCTGGCCCTCTTTCTTCTCCTCTGTCTGGTGTTTATACCTTTAATGTTGTTCACCAACTCTCCTCTCCTCCCTCCCTTTAGTCCCGAGCCGGAGGGGACAGCACTCTCATTTTCGTCCTCCTCGTCCTCCTCGTCCTCCTCGTCCTCCTCCTCCTCCTCCATGTTTTTCTGTCCCATCCTCCCTTTCTCTCTAATGGCAGCAGCTTCTCTCTCAATCACAGCCTGCCTATGTGGAGCTGGTGCTCTGGCCCTTAGTCTATACAGTGGGGGAAAAAAAGTATTTAGTCAGCCACCAATTGTGCAAGTTCTCCCACTTAAAAAGATGAGAGAGGCCTGTAATTTTCATCATAGGTACACGTCAACTATGACAGACAAAATGAGAAAAAAAATTCCTGAAAATCACATTGTAGGATTTTTAATGAATTTATTTGCAAATTATGGTGGAAAATAAGTATTTGGTCAATAACAAAAGTTTCTCAATACTTTGTTATATACCCTTTGTTGGCAATGACACAGGTCAAACGTTTTCTGTAAGTCTTCACAAGGTTTTCACACACTGTTGCTGGTATTTTGGCCCATTCCTCCATGCAGATCTCCTCTAGAGCAGTGATGTTTTGGGGCTGTCGCTGGGCAACACAGACTTTCAACTCCCTCCAAAGATTTTCTATGGGGTTGAGATCTGGAGACTGGCTAGGCCACTCCAGGACCTTGAAATGCTTCTTACGAAGCCACTCCTTCGTTGCCCGGGCGGTGTGTTTGGGATCATTGTCATGCTGAAAGACCCAGCCACGTTTCATCTTCAATGCCCTTGCTGATGGAAGGAGGTTTTCACTCAAAATCTCACGATACATGGCCCCATTCATTCTTTCCTTTACACGGATCAGTCGTCCTGGTCCCTTTGCAGAAAAACAGCCTCAAAGCATGATGTTTTCACCCCCATGCTTCACAGTAGGTATGGTGTTCTTTGGATGCAACTCAGCATTCTTTGTCCTCCAAACACGACGAGTTGAGTTTTTACCAAAAAGTTATATTTTGGTTTCATCTGACGATATGACATTCTCCCAATCCTCTTCTGGATCATCCAAATGCACTCTAGCAAACTTCAGACAGGCCTGGACATGTACTGGCTTAAGCAGGGGGACACGTCTGGCACTGCAGGATTTGAGTCCCTGGCGGTGTAGTGTGTTACTGATGGTAGGCTTTGTTACTTTGGTCCCAGCTCACTGCAGGTCATTCACTAGGTCCCCCCATGTGGTTCTGGGATTTTGTGATCATTTTGACCCCACGGGGTGAGATCTTGCATGGAGCCCCAGATCGAGGGAGATTATCAGTGGTCTTGTATGTCTTCCATTTCCTAATAATTGCTCCCACAGTTGATTTCTTCAAACCAAGCTGCTTACCTATTGCAGATTCAGTCTTCCCAGCCTGGTGCAGGTCTACAATTTTGTTTCTGGTGTCCTTTGACAGCTCTTTGGTCTTGGCCATAGTGGAGTTTGGAGTGTGACTGTCTTTTATACTGATAACAAGTTCAAACAGTTGCCATTAATACAGGTAACGAGTGGAGGACAGAGGAGCCTCTTAAAGAAGAAGTTACAGGTCTGTGAGAGCCAGAAATCTTGCTTGTTTGTAGGTGACCAAATACTTATTTTCCACCATAATTTGCAAATAAATGTATAAAAAATCCTACAATGTGATTTTCTGGAAAGAAAATTCTCAATTTGTCTGTCATAGTTGACGTGTACCTATGATGAAAATTACAGGCCTCTCTCATCTTTTTAAGTGGGAGAACTTGCACAATTGGTGGCTGACTAAATACTTTTTTCCCCCACTGTATGTACAGGTACTTGAGAAGTGTTCTCCCTGTTTCATTATTTGTTTCAGTCTTAGGTAGTATTTTGTATTTTGCCTGTCAGCCGGTTTTTGGAGACTTATTTGCTCCGCCTTTCTTTTATGGTGATAAGTCCGTTATTTTGTATTTTGGTTTCGGGACTACCAGTAAAGATCCTTGTTTCACCATCTCTGCCTACTGCCTACTGTTTATCCTGCACCGTACCTGGGTCACACCTCACCCCAACCCTTACAGAAAACTGAGCCAATATGGACCCAGCGGAGGCAGCACAGTATCGGAGCGCATTGGCAACACAGGGAGCTATGCTGAACCAACACGACCGCAGCCTGCAGCAGATCACTGAGAAGCTCCGCCAACTGACGATCGCCGTGCAGAGCCGGGTGGACACCTGACCAGCCCCGGCAGCGGCGTCTCCAGTCTCGCCTGCGGCATCGCGGGAACCCCGCCTACCACCTCCAGAGAGGTATGACAGACGTCCAGAGCGCTGCAGGGAAGTCCTCACCCAGTGTTCCCTGGTATTCAGCCTACAACCCTCCTCCTTCCCGACGGAGCAGGGCCGGGTGGCCTACATCATCACTCTGTTGATGGGTCGGCCCCTTTCCTGGGCTACCGTGAAGTGGGAGAGCCAAATTCCGGCGTGCTCCGACTCCGACCAATTCACCCGGGAGCTATGCAAGGTGTTCGACACCTCTCGGGTGGTGTTGGGGCACAAGGCCAGGAGGCGGCTCACGGCCTGTCGGCAGGGTCACCGTTCGGTGGCGGACTACTCCGTCGAGAGTCAGGATGGGAGGAAGCCGCCCTGGTCGTCCTTGGTCGCCCAGGGGCTATCGGAGGGGATGAAGGACAAACTCTCCTTCAGGGAGCTGCCTGAGAGACTGGACGGCCTCGTCAAACTCTCGGTGCGGGTAGACAATCGGTGCCGTGAGAGGCCACAAGAGAGAGGGATGACGCAAGGCGCGCCTCCGCGTCCCCCTATCAACCCAGAGGCTTTCCGCCGATTCAGAGAGGAGACGCCTCAGGAGGATGCTATGCTGCTGGGGGCGGCGCGCTTGTTCAACCCCCCCTATTCCCAGAGCAAGAGGAGGAGGCAGCGGTCCCATCGGTCCAGGCCCACATCAGTCGCTGTCGCCTCACCTGGAGGCAGGTATGGGCGGTGCTTAAGCGGGCCCCGGTCAGGTCTCAACATTAGGCCAACAGCAGATGTCGCCCGGCCCCGGTCTTTCGCCCGGGACAGACGGTGTGGCTCTCCACGCAGGATCTTCCCCTCCACGTGGAGTCCAGGAAGCTGTGGACTGGTGGACTGGGAGGGTTATGGGCCAGAGGAGCGGTCCTGGGTGCCCAGGAGGGACATTCTGGACCCAGGGCTGATGAGGCGCCGAGGTGAATGGCTGGGGCTGTTCGTCGGGGGGGGGGGGCACTGTTACAGGAGGGGGTCGCAGTTCCGGAGCGACCCACTAGGTGTCATCCTCCGACAATCTTAGGCACCTCCTCACTCAAAGTCGGGACTAATCATCATCCTATTGGTGTCACCTGTGTCTATCGGTTCACCTGTGTATTTATGCCCTCACTTCCCTGTGTTCCCTTGCTCAGTTTTCTCTGCTAGTTTCTCTATGTGCAGCAGTACTACTCAGTGTCTGATCAGAGATCTATGTGCAGGTACTTGAGAAATGTTCTCCCTGTTTCGTTATTTGTTTCAGTCTTGGTAGTATTTCGTATTTTGGCTGTCAGACGGTTTTTGGAGATTATTTGCTCCAACTTTCTTTTATCGTGATAAGTCCGTTATTTTGTATTCTGGCTTCGGGACCACCAGTAAAGATCCTTGTTTCACCATCTCTGCCTAATGCCTACTGTATATCCTGCACCGCACCTGGGTCACACCTCACCCCAACCCTTACACTGACTCTAATGCTTCCCACAGTTGTGTCAATTTGGCTGGATGTCCTTTGGGGGGTTGACCATTCTTGATACACACGGGAAACTGTTTAGCGTGAAAAACCCAGCAGCGGTGCAGTTCTTGACACAAACTGGTGCGCCTGGCACCTACTACCATACCCCGTTCAAAGGCACTACAATCTTTTGTCTTGCCCATTCACCCTCTGAATGGCACACATACACAATCCATGTCTCAATTGTCTCAAGGCTTAAAAATCCTTCTTTAACCTGTCTCCTCCCCTTCATCAACACTGATTGAAGTGGATTTAACAAGTGACATCAGTAAGGGATCATAGATTTCACCTGGTCAGTTTATGTCATGGAAAGAGCAGGTGTTCTTAATGTTTTGTGTACTCAGTGTAGAATATTAATGATTAGTAGACTAATCTACAATACACACAGTATCTTATCCCCGGCTTTCCAGTGTATGCGTCCATAGTGTGAAGAGTTGCCTAGCTTGAGTATGGAAATAACTGTTTGTTACATTCTGTATCTATAAGCTGCTAGGCTAGCTGCAAGATGATATGTATACTGTAAAGAAAATCCTATCGTTTTTACAGTAACTTCCTGGCAGCCAGTAACCTGTAAGTTACAGTAAAAAAAGTACAGTATGGTACCGTAAATTCCAAAGAAACTTTGGTTTAACAGTACATTACTGTAAACTTTACAGTTTCCTTTGTTGTTGTTTTTTACAGTGTAGGTCAAAATGGGTGAATGCATTGCATCATGGGTATTCTTGTCTGCATGAGACCTCAAATTAAACTGTCACCATTACACTGATAGCAAACTGTACAGTTGTTTGACATTGAACATTGGTGTACTGTCCCCACTCTCAACGCTGACAACTAGGTCAGTTGGTTACAAGCGCTCTGTTGACTTTCCCCACCGCCTCCATTCCCATCTCACCCTCTCTAGGAAAGCCTCTGGCAGAGATGGGAACACAGTGAGGGATCAAGGAGCAGAAATACAGTATATAACTCTCTCTCTAGGTTCTTTAGTTCATAGCTCAGCTGTGCTTTGCCAGACAGACAGAGTGATAGGGTTCAGGGCCAATACCATACTTCAAGACATTTCTTTCTCATTTGTCACTTATAATCATTTAAAGTAGAGAGTAGACACACTTCCTATTGAATTCTAATCACACTAAAGTAATGTTGTCATTGAAATACTATGATCAATCCAGGAAGTCCACTCTTTTTCAGTTTCTTTGGTCCTAGTTTCCTGTTGTCCTGAGGGAGACTTCTTGTGTGCGACAGCGATGTGTCCCCGGGGATGTTGTCTGTGATTTCAAAGAGGACTGTGAGGATGGGTCAGATGAAAAGTTCTGTGGTGCGTCAATCTCCCTCTTAATCTTCCTTGCATACTAGTCTCTCAGCTTTATAAAGCTGTCATTCTG